ATCTTGTATCTGGGCCTTTGCTAATGGGCCTAATCTTGTTTATGTCTTAAGTCTTCTGGGTGTCCCATCACTAATCAGGGGTATCCCAGTAAATTCTTGTWCTTTGTACTTCACTTATATATAAATAAAGGCATGGTCGACTGCAAGTACAGCTCGACATTTTCCAGCATCTTTTCTTCTTCTCCTCTTTTCTGCTACTTCGACTACAGTGGTTCAGCTTTCACTCAGAATTGTACATTCTCTCTCTTTTTTTTCCTACTAATAAATATTTTTAATTCATAAAAGGTGAATTAATTAACAAAGTTGGTTAACTTGATTTACCTTGACTTTGGAATTTATATATAGTAAATCACAAATTGGTTCAGGTCAATAAATTCACACTTTGTACACGAGTATTGTGAAAACTGTAACTAATTTACTTGTTAAATCTACCTTTTATCAATTCTTGGTAAATCTGTATTACCAGAACTGGAAGAAGCAATTTTGTTTCAAGTTTAACAATAAGGTAGACTCCCCTTGCGTTTCATCCATGATAAACAAGTCAGCAATAATTTGTCTATGAAGCTAAGTGACCCTACAATTCATCAAGTCATAATAAAACAGAACCACTTGCTGACAGGATGTTACTTTGAGTGCCTAATAAAATAGATGCCAATGAGAAGTTGACCAGCTATAAAGCATTATGTCTTTTTTTTCAGTATTACATAACACACATTACAGGGGGACTTATGGGTTGTTGACAGAGCAGGGTGCACATGAGGTCCACTGGCCTTACCATGGAGAGCCTGCAGTTACGTGGGTTTGATCCCGTGCCTCCTCTTTTTGAGGGATGCCAAGTGGTTATCCAAACAATTAGGTCATCAGCAAAAGATAATAGATACAGGAAGACTTGCAGTATTATCATCAATTGACAAGACCAGATGCATTCTTCTAAGACTACATGGAAAAAGTATGAACATTAAACCAGCCCGAAATCTCATAAACATGTAAAAAAAAACAGAAAATAACATTGATTAAAAGGAAAATATTTTTTATTGGTAAAAGTGAAACAATTTTATTAATTTAAAAGTCCCCATATTTGGCACAGTGGGATGTCACCTAATATCATCCACAGAAGGGAATAAGATGTCAGAGGTACAAGTAATATAAGGAAATTAAATCAAAATATGTCTCACCATCAACCTTTCTTGGTGACGTATTGAGGGGGTGAATGCAGTTGGATATAAATTTATTTAACTGTTTGTTTACATCCGCTATAAGACAATAAATAAAGTTGACTGATGATCAGCCGTTGTTATAGATAAAATGTAATCTACTTACACAAGTTGCAGGCTTGAAGCAGAAAGGCCATCTGGTATTGGACCAGATAATAGATTGTTTGACAAATCCCTACACAATGCAACATAAGATGCATAATCAGGGTAACTTTTTCATTCAAGGAACCATCAGATAAACAGCATTCCCAAAATACCAAGAGAAGATGAACCTAAAAATCACAGTGCTTGGTTAGTCAAAAGTATGATAGTTTTGATAAGATGAAGCTTTTGTAGGTTTATGTTTCTAAATGTACTCCAGCATGTACATGTCAAGTGGAAGCTAACCTATGTTGCAGTTATATTATTTCATTCATTAAGCCTCATAAAAAGTTTACCTTCAAAAAATGATGAGCTAAAAAGTCAAATGGCAATTAATAAAGAAAACATTTCAGACCGAAGCTCCGAGAAACTTTTAAATCACTGGATGTGCACTCCATAGTTAAAGCTTTTAATGACTTTGGAAAGCATAATTGTGCTCCAAATAAACTGTAAAGAGACTGGGCCGAATGGGCCCTAACATCCTCTCTTGTAATATCTTTTATTTTATTGTTGATGGGCCACACTTAATGGGCCTGTTATTTATTCTTGTTTTATTCTCTTTATGTAACTGCCAAGCTGGTCGCCCACTTAAGGGCATTCTTGTCATCATTTAATTTTTAGATCTTAATAAAATAGGGTTAGAAGAGAATGGAGATTAATTCGACTCCTTCTCTTACCTTCTCTTTTCGCCATCTTCTTCTCCTGTATAGCTGTTCAGACCTGTTCTTTACTTCTTCTAATCCCTAAATTTGTTCTTGATATTTGAGGACTGATTTACATCTTAAACCCAACTGTTTTTCACACAATCTCCTTGCAAATCTGCAGTTAATGAATAAGTCATGAACTGATTTTGTTCTCTCCACACATTATGCACATTGTGTTATCCACCATCATTCCTCACCTAGCCAACTTGTCAACTGTTAAACATTTGCCCAACATGATTGTACAAAGTAAGTATAAGGAGATCGACCTAAGTAGCAACACGGATCGACGACCACGACAAGACAAATCAAGACYAGGTCAATTCGGGTCATTAAATATAAGTGATGTTTTCAGCACAATTAATGATTATTCTAGAAACTAAAGAGCATTCTTGAAGAAATAAACATGGGAACATTCTAGAAATAATTCAAGAAAACAAACATGTGACAAAAAGGGTAAAACTGGAAATAATAATTAATAAGATGACTCTAGAAAGACAATTAATCACATGTTTTAAATGAATATAAAGAACATTCTAGAATATAAGGGTAAAATAGGAAAAACATTAACTTAAGAACCTTCTGGAATGTGCACCCAAAAACTATAAATAAGGGCCTTGCAACCATTGCCCATCACTTTTGACATCAGTCCATCCATTCTCTCTCCCTCTCTCATCCATATTATCCTTCTTCCGTCCTCCCATTTCATTCATCCACTATTTCCCTCTTTTTCTTGTCAGAATTCCAGTGCCGGCGAACTACAGCGGCCTGACCCCTCATTAGAGGGTATGTAGGCAGCCCCTTCCTTGGGGTCCAGCCACTTGTTGATTTCCCATTTCTTCCCATTTTTGGTTCAGCCAATTCCTCAGACCTCGGAGTAAAGACCAATTTACATCCTCGGCCTWAAGCTACTTTGTGAGGGGTTGCTGGTTTCCAAACTCTAGCATCTAGGAATTTGTCCATCTCAATACCAGCTAGTTTGTTATAAAAAATATCTCAATGTGAATTTCCTGATCAAGGTTCAAAGTAAAAGGTGTTTCAATCACACACTCCACCTTTTTTTTCTAAATATGAGAGGGGCGAGGCCTACTCCCTGWAAACAACCAATATTGAAAATACATAGTATCTAGTGTATGATATCCTGGTGTAACCAGAATGATATGATACACCCGATACACACTGATATGTCATAATTTTATTAACCTTGTTCCTGCTCTCTCCCATGACCAGATTCTTCTCTCTCATCTGGATCTATCAGTTCATGTCATGCTAATATTTCGCAGCAATTCCATCCAAGGCCCTACCAYTTAATCACTCAGATTCCTCCTGAATGTGGGCCATCATACTCCAAAATCTCTATTAAAAGAGAACAAATCTGCAATCATGCACTCTTTTTTTAAGATAAATAAAGAAGAAAGTTTATTAAGAAAAGAGCAAGCAGGCACATTGCACACCTATAGGCATTAGTGTCCCTGCATCCCAGTTCATATTACTCGCCCCATACTTGACCAACATTATTCTTCTCTAGAGGCTGTTGAGCTGCTTATTCCATCTCCAATACCATTTGTGGATTTGCCTAATAGGGCCACATTGAACTCCCCTGTTCTCCTCACCCCTAGACCCCCACCTTTCTTGGACAGCACACTTTACTCCACTTAACCATGTGGAACTTAAAATCTTCCCTCCACCCTGTCCACAAAAAGTCCCTCATTTTTTTTTTCAATTACCTTGGCTGTGCTAGCAGGAATTGGGAACAAGGATCAGAGATAGGTTGGTAGAGATCATAATAAACTCTTAATCAAAGYTTACTTCCCCCTTTTGATGGATATTTTGTTTTCCACGATGCTAATATTCTCTCTACTCTTTTCACCATTGGCACCCATATCTTCTTTGCAATGCACTTATCCCTAGGTGGCATACCTAAATATTTTGTGGGGAGCTTGCTAGTTTTGCACCCAGAACATTGAACCAGCTGTTCTAGAGTAATCCCTTCCCCCACAGCCCTTACCTCACTCTTATGAATATTAATCATCAGCCCAGAAACTGCCTCAAACCATGTTTGAATAAGGCAGATATTTATCATATGTTCCTAGGATATCATTGCAAAAATCAACATGTTGTCTACAAATTGAAGCAATGTGACCCCTTTCTCCTCACTCACCTTAAAACCTTCTAGGACACCTCTTTCTGCTGCTTTTTTCATTATCCTACTCAAAACCTCCATAACACATATAAACAGCAATGGGGACAAAGGGTCCCCCTGCCTAATGCCTCTAGAGTTGAAGATCCTTCCATCTGGGGTTCCATTTATTATAATTGAGAAGCTCATCATAGTTAAACATACCTTTATCTAGTTTCTCCACTTGACGCCAAAATTAAATCATTTCAGCATGTAGTTCAAAAAGCTCTAGCTTGTGTGATTGTAAGCTTTCTCCATGTCCACTTTTAGATTTTAGTAGCACCCCTGCTTCCCCACGTTTACTTATTGAATCAAGTAGTTCATTGGCCACCCACCATCTCATTAATAGTTTCAAGTATTTCTCCTTTTGAAAAGGGCCCTCCAACTCCTCTGCCTCTTCTTCCCTCAAACTTTCAGAACTTAATCCCTCCTTGGGTCTGTAGAGCTAGATCTCCTTGTATAAAGCCTCGTAATAATTGTTGAAGGTATCCCTGACTTTTCTCTCTCCTTCTAYTACCTCCCCCTATCTCCAACCTCTTAATGCAGTTTTGTCTTCTCTATTTGACATCTTGTGAAATAATGAGGCATCTTTATCTCCTTCCTACAATCATAAGCATAGCCTTTGCCTCCATTTGATTTCTTCCTAATACGCTAGCCAATCATATTCCATTTTAGCCTTACCTATCTCTTTTGCTTCTCATTAGATATTACACCCTATTATTCAGCCCTGTCTGGATTTATTATTGTTTCTAAAATTCCTCCTTCCTCACCTTCACCCCCTAAAGGACGTCTCCATCTTCCACCTCTTCAACTTTACTTTTAGCTCCAATAACTTCTTGCTAAATATGTGGCTGGTCAAACCTTCAACTTGGCATTCTCTCCGCCATTGTTGCATCTTCTCTACTAGGTCCTTCTCTTCCAATCGCATGTGCTCAAAATGAAATGGTGGTTTTTTAACTACTAAAGTTTCCCCACGATCCAACAAAATCGGTAAGTAGTCCAATAGTGATTGTGACAAAGACTCTGTTATGGGCCCGGGCATAGGATCTCGTCACGGGTCGGTCCACGGGGAGAACCTCTAGCTTCCCCTTGCCCCTCCCCTTGTGTGCAGACCCTATCGTGGCGACCTAAAGGCGATTTGTTCAAGAGATCGCCCTAACTCTCCTTTACTCTTCTCTTTGACTGAAAACTGAATGCCTTTATTCTCAATTCGCAGCTCCTTAAATAGGAGATTACAAGAGGTGAGAATCCTCTTTGTAGGAGGACTCCCTGTAGAATTCGACTACTTATAGATAAGGCTAAGATAAATCAAACTCTAAGATCAATCAAACTCCTACTTCTAATAGATAAACAAACTCCTACTATTCTTCTAATAGATAAAGTAAGATAAGGGAAACTACTAAGGATAAGATAAGATAAGCTGAAAGCTGATAAGATAAGCTGCCGCCCTGTGGGCCCCTCCTTACTGCTGCTGCCGRCGGCTGTACGTCCTCCCCACGAATGCATCCACAACATTACACCCCTCCTGGGCAACGAGCTTGTCCCCAAGCTCGAGATCTGGGTAGGCGTCTTGAAGAACAGTCCAGGGGATCCAGGTGACCTTAGCTGATGGTAGGTCGTCCCATTCCACTAGGACTTCGAGAGTACCCCGATTGACGCGGGATCGAACCAGAGCCCGAGGCTGGAGGATGGGTCTACCGTCCCTTAAGGGTGGTAGGGAAGGTACCTTATCAGGAGTACCTGTAAATGGCTTGAGCAAGGACACGTGGAAGGTATCATGGAGTTTGTTGTGCTCTGGTAGCTCGAGCTGATATGCAACTTTCCCGATTCGCCGTAAAACCTTGAAGGGCCCGTAAAATTTGGGAGCCAGTTTAGGGGAAGGTCTGCTTTTGAGAGAGTGTTGCCGATAGGGTTGGAGCTTCAACCACACGAACTGTCCGGGCTCGAAAGTTAATTCTCTGTGGCGCTGATCGTAGGCATTCTTCATGTGCGTCTGAGCCTGCTGTAAGCGGAGAGCGACTTCGGCCGGGAGGGCATCGCGATCTTGTAGTCCACGATCGATTTCTTCCAGCCGTGTCGAACCGGGTTCGTAGGACAATAGGCGGGGGGGTTCCCGACCATAGACGACCTGGAATGGAGTCATGCCAAGAGAAG